GGATGAATGGGTGGATGAGTGGGCGGATGGATGGATGGATGGATGGATGGATGGATGGATGGATGGGTTGGTGGGTTAATGGATGAATGGGTGGATGAGTGGGTGGATGGATGAGTGGGTGGACGGATGGATGGATGGATGGATGGATTAGTGTGAGTGGATGGAGTGATGGGTGGATGGTGGATGGGTGGATGGGTAGATGGGTGGATGGGTGGGTGGATGGATGGATGGATGGATGGATGGATTGGTGGGTTAATGGATATGGGTGGATGGGTGGAAGGGTGGATGGATGAATGGATAGGTGGATGGGTGGGTGGATGGGTGGAAGGGTGGATGGATGAATGGATGGATGGGTGGAAGGATGGATGGATAAATGGATGGGTGGGTGGATGGGTGGAAGGGTAGATGGATGAATGGATGGGGGAAGGCCTGGCTGCGGAAGTGACACTCCAGCTGAACTCTGAAGGATAGGGAGGTGGAGAGAGAAGGGACAAGCCCTCCAGGCAGAGGGAGCAGCACGGGAAGGTCCAGGGGCAAGAAGAGCCCAGGTGGAGAGTGTGGGTGTGGATGGGTGGGTGGATGGGTGGAAGGGTGGATGGATGAATGGATGGATGGGTGGAAGGATGGATGGATGAATGGATGAGTGGGTGGATGGATGGATGGGTGAATCAATGGTGCTCAGAGCCAGGGTCACGTGGTGGAGGCCGTTACCTGTAGACCAGGATGAAGCAGGTGATGAAGAAGGCTGCGCCGATGGTGAAGAGGTAGGCCAGGGGCATGTTGTAGGGCAGGCTGGCCGCCTCGGGGGCGCACTGGCCGCCATCGGGTGGGTCGGCACACGGCTGGTTCAGGGTGGCATTGCTGTAGTAGCCATAGTACATGACGGTGTCCGTGAAGCGGCCCTGCGGTAGGAGGCCCGGCCGCGTCAGGGACTCCCCCTCCCCACGCCTGACCCACCCATGGCTTCAAGGGGCAGAGGGAGGGCACCCATCAGGGAGGCCAGGGCAGGGCCACAAGGACAGCACGGAGGTGGACAACAGGCCTCGGCCATCCGGGGCTTCCCAGGCCCCACAGGTGTCGGGACAACAAGGAGAGCTGTCTCCGGCCGCCCTGGAGTCACAGTGGAGGGCGGGGGTCTCCCCAGGGGAGGCCAGAGGGTGCCCCTAACCCTCACCCCTCCGGTGAGGGGCTCCAGGCCAGTGAAGGGGGGGACAGGGCGCTGGGGGGCGGGCGGGAAGGCGGTCTGCACGCCCACGAGGAAGGCCAGCAGGGGGAGCAGCAGCAGCGCGTTGAAGGCCAGCAGGGTCTTGAGGAACAGGAAGTAGGACAGCACGCTGGAGCCGAACTGGCCCCCGATGCGCTTCAGGGCGTAGTGCCAGGGCACCAGGGCCTGCAGCCCCGACAGCAGCCCCAGCCCCAGGTCCTGCCAGGCCTGTGGGGACAGCCCC